TGCACACTTACTAATCGACGGACCAAGTTGCAGTGAAATGTATCGCTCGGCTGAAACGTCGTCTTTTGATGGAGACGATGTGGTTGGTCGGCGGAGCGGGGCTGCGTCTGGGGTCTGGGGCGCCCGAAGGTACTATGCCCGCGCGGCTGCCGGCCGGAATCGGGGCGACGAGAGAGGGGTTCGCTTGGCATAGTACCTTCGAGCACCCAGAACCTCGCCGCGGGGACCGCCTCGCGCGCGCGGAGAGAGAGGGGAAAATGATCTCGGCTTCTGCGTGCTCCCGAGACGAGCGGGCTGAAGATTTGGGATGCTCGACCCCGAATTGCCATTGCGAAGTGTGCTCAGTTTCTCTCCCCCTGGCCTGGAACATGCCAAACCCAGCATCAGAGATCGTGCGACCATCATCGACGACGTCCAACCCTTTTTCGAAAGTAAACTTCTAGGTTCAATAAGTTAATGTTGCGTTCCGGCCGACGATTGGTAAGTGATGCACACTCGGAGCACCTATGATGCCGTTCTCAGGCATCGTTGCAATTTGGCGCCGCTGGCCGCTGGAGAAGTCGACCCGCCCGCGCCCCGCGTCTTCGACCGCCGCGCGCCTCCCCGACGACCGCCGCGCGCGCGCAGGCGCGCACCGCTCGAACCATGCCGAAGACTGCGAAGAAACACGCCAAGAAGCGCATGTCGCTGGACTTCCCGCGGGATCACAGCCCCGTGGGCAAGGACAAGGAGAATCCCGACGCCGCGGCGCCGGTGAAGCCCCTCGCGCCCGCCGCCGCGGCGCCGGCGCCCAAGGCCGCGCTCGCGCCGGCGAACGCGTCGAGCCTCTACGACAGCGTCGCGGAGAGCGTCGCCGGCGTCACGGAGTCCGTCGCCGCCGCGCTGTCGCCGAAGGCGCCCAAGGCGAAGCAGGTCCCCGCGCGGTCGCCGGGCCTGCCGACGGGCAGCTGCAAGGCCAAGGTCGTCGACATCGACATCTCCGAGAGCGCCCTGGCGCCGCCGGCCGCCGAGGGCGACGAGACCGTCGAGGAAGTCGTCGAGGGCACGCCGCTCTCGCCGGCGATGCGCAAGTTCCTCACGAACTTCGAGGCGCCGACGCCGAAGTCCACCGACGCGACGTACCGCGACGCGCACGCGGAGGTCCAGAACGCCGCCGCCTGGAACGCCTGCCCGCCCCTCGTCCGCGACCACGAGGTCGGCCTACCCATCGACGACGAGGAGCCCGCGGCGGCGCGGCCCGCGGCGAGCCGCCTCCGCGAGCGCTGCGCCTGCTTCCCCCTCTGGCGCCTCTGAGC